CAGAAAGAGGTTGGGAGCGAAGTTGGGAAATTTAAGACGATGGTTTTAGATTGTAATTTCTATATATTAATGAGGATATAAAAGGAATATTGTCTCAAATTTTTCTTAATTTTTTTCTCCGATTGATGTTCTTTTCTGGTTTTATTAAGCTTAAGTGACATTAAAGATATAGATTTAGATATCAAGCTAATGGACAGTTTACAGTTCAGCAAAATATGGTAAAAGTAACGATATCATGAGGGCGAATCACGTTACTTATCTCGTCCGAACCCTCAAATTTCGACATGCCAGATCGATGCATTTTGGATTGATCATAATCCGATCAGTGGGTTAGGGTGGTGCCTAAGAGACTATACGGACCTCTTTACTTTTGGCATGAGAGGATGTAGACAAAGCATCTCAGCACTTCATGATGAGTTCGACGGGTTGTTTTGGGCGATGGAGTGTCTAAGCGAGAGGAGGCTATACTCAGTGAGGATTGAACGGACTGTGCAAACTTGATTTCTATGACCACGACTGTGTATTAGTAATGTCCGGACCGACTCCTTTGTAAAAGGAGTTCGAACACGAGGTTATGTATTTTCCCATGTAAGTCAGACATTCCCGTTTGGGGTGGCCCGTCAGAGAGACCTTCCAATCGGTAACAAATTGATTTAATATAATGGTGATTGTTGGAAAAAGAAAAAAAAATTAACGATATACTTGCATTCATTGAATCTTTTTAAAAAAATTTTTGAAAAATATCATTTTTGAAGTACTAAGTTTTTCAAAATCTTATAATCTTACAATTAACTCTGTAACTAATTTGCTTAAATCATTTTATACACAGCTAAATGTTCTTTACTCGAGTTTGTATATATTAAAAGAACAAAATTAGAGAGTGAAAAAAAGGAATATTGATATATAAATGAATTGAATTACAAAGCCGGATACTTCAGAACCATATTCTAGAAGTATATCATGAACATAAAAAAAAACATTCGTAATTAACAAGAACGCGGATGGAACAACATACACGGAACAACAAAGATCGCAAGTTTATTCGAATAAGATCGCAAGTTTGAATAATTTTAATTAAAAAATGTAAAACAAATATATGAAAGAAGAACTAACACCAAAGAAGGAAGAAATTAGAAGAAAAAAAAAACAA